CTAGTTCCTTACTGATGCCCGTCACGGTGGACGGGAGGATGCTGGAGTTGGCCATGGAGCTGCACAGCTGCCGTTCTGAAAAAGACAGTGGAGTATACTGAATAACATATGTATGGACAGGTAGCCGTTAATTCCCTTCTCTAATTCTAATGTCCTTCTCCGACCACACTATATCCCAATTTTCTGCTATTTTCTTAACATGATGACAGACAACTGGATTTTGCTGCTTTGCAAACATGGCAGTTAAAATGGCATTTGCCCAGTGGGATCTGCATGGTTTGCCATTCTAAAGACACACCCCACTCCATTCTAAAATCTCTATATCTTCCTCCTCATTTTATGGCATCATAGAAGCTGCCCGGCACAAAGCTTGTTCCAAACGGTGGGAGGAAAAATGATGCCATCTAAGAGGTATCTTATTACTAAGATTTTTGGCTATATTGTAAGTTAGCTTTACATGCATCCTTCAGAATGCATTGCAACAACCTCTGTGAAAAAAATAAATGGTGGTGGATGACAAGGGAGAAACACTGATAATCAACCAAATTTAGTTCCAATTTAATTTACAAAGAACTTTGAATCAAAAGTAGAGCACACAAATTTCCCTATGAAGATAGTAGTCACATATGAGGGTCCATTCCAGTTAGGATGCAGAAGGTAGTTGCCTATATAGTCAGCAGGTAGCGAGGCAACTCACTAGGTTTTGGAACAGAGCCATTATATAGGCCATTTATTACATGCCCCTAAAATGGTATTTACAAATTCAATAAACCATTTTCACATCAACATATGAATCCATCTTCTTTATTGCCTCACGACAGGGTTGGTGATAATTGTGCTCAGTACAGTGCAGTGCAAAGGACAAAGATAAACATAGACATAGATAAACCAATCGTAATACAATAAAGCACAGTATTTACATAGTAATTAAAGAGAACCGGAGAGTACCACAAAAGACAAAACAAATGACTTTAATAATGTATACTGTGTGACTCATCAGAGCAGTCTAGTAAAAGTGAAAGACGCCATGCAGGACAGAGTTGTAAAAATTCCTAATAGCCCATATACTGTGACACTGATGGATCATTTCTTCAACATCACCGGGCACAGTATTTTTTCATTAAGTCTCGGCAAATTTACATATCTCCACTGTTTCCTCTACTCTCGCCTGAGATTGCGATCAGAAAACGGTTATGCTGGTATGGCGCTCAAGGGCAGGTCAAGCAAAAATAATAAAAATACTGTGAATCATGCTTGTCTGGATAGCATCAGCTGTCAAAAGCAGTGTTTGCAGACTCCTTCCGCTCAACGCGCCGCCATGGTGACCGCCGGAACAGGAGGGGCAGAGTGAGAGTCTAGTCTTGTGATAGAACATGACAGTGTGCTTCTAGTACACACTAAGACTTAGACACACTAACCTTGTTTTTGAAGTGCTCTATGTTTTGGTGTTAGCATATCGCTAAGCTAATGGCACAATGCCCCAATAAAAGGAAAATGCTTAGCACACAAATAATAGATTAAATATATACAGTACAATTTTATCAATAGTCAATATAAGTATCTATAGGACTATGCAGTCTAGGCAGCTCACTTGCATATGAACAAATTATTTGCAGTTCAGCTCGGAAATGCAGTTACAAAGGAATCAAAATACTTACAAAAAAAAATCTAAACTTTAAATTTTAATAAACCTGAGCTGTGCTGTCTTTGTATTGCTTCAAACTGAACCAATGGCCAGTAATACTGAGAGTTTTCCTGAGGTGAGTTTTAGGCACATCATCT